TCAATAGAGGTACTTCAAAAAAAATGATAAGTATGAGATCAAATGAATTAAGGTATTGTATTTAGAGCTAAACTCAAATTTCCAACAAGCTTTTATATTAGGACTGGAGGTGGTGTATATTATTTTTAGTCTGTCTTAAATTTTGTAGGTGTGGAATCTAATTAATATATAGTTATAAATATGATTAGTTTTTTTCATGTTACTGTTTATCTTACATATTGCTTTCAAAATGGCTTGAAAAGGATCATTTGAGATAACACTGTGGAATTATATATATTAGCTAGATTTAAATAAAAAAAATTATAAAAAATATATACAAATTTATATTTGGAATTATGAAAGACAATTTAAAATTATTCAATAAAAGCTTCATACATTTTGTTCATTATATCATTATGTTAAATGCTCCAATCATATATAACCATGTGTCTTTTTTGTGTTTTATGTGGATTTATAAGTAAAATGCTAATATTTCAAAAATAAGACACATGACCATATGTGATTAGAGAATTTAACATAATAAATATAAATAATTTGATGTAAGTATTGTCTGTTCGTAAATAGTTTTATTTTAAGAATCATAAAGACATAATAGATCTTAACTATTTTTTGCGTTGAAATAGCTCTTAATTATCAGTTATATATGTTTTTAGTGTATGATTAAACTTTTAATCCTTAGTTGTTTTTGTTGGCGGCAGCAAACAGAAACTAGCAAAATTCGGTCCGAGTCGCGTCACAAGGTCACTGTCCTTGAGAGATATTCCGTAACCCCTCGACATAACAAGAAGCGGCACTCTCCAGGATCAAACGAACCCTTCTCGCGGAGGAAGGTGGCAAAACAGTGAAAAGCAGTTGCAACAGAAGGAACACAAAAATAGAGAAGAGGAGGAAGACCACAGTGGATTATTTCACGTTCTCTCAACGAGCCTTATATAGACATGAACAGCCACACCACCAGAGAACACTTCCCTCTATTTCGCTGTAGGTTCCGTTGAAGATAGAACGATCCGAACATGTCTGGTCAGCCACAAAACAACACGACAACGTTTTTAATTTTAACAGGTTCAAAAATAGGACTTTTCCGGTAAGCATTTTTTATTTAAGAAAATTTAGTAAAATATTTAAAATTGATTTTCGTAAAATGAGTGTGTTACCACATCTAATTCACACACAGGGGGGGAAATCACCAGTTTTTAACTACGTTTTCCTCCTGGTGGCCCGTTGTTGTGTGCACAATGCCTACTTTTCTCTTGGTCCATTTACCTCCCTAAGGAAGCTTGATCTCATATACACACTTGTCTTCCTCTTATCTTTTCCCCGTGAGACTTTATTTGACACACATTTTGTAATGTTTTCACAACAGTTTTGAATTTTTTTTCACATTAGATAAATGTTCAATTAACATCATTCAATTCAAGGCAAAAAGAAAAAACCCAAAAAAATGTAAGAAAAATTTGTTTATTTAATCTATTTTAGCAACAATAAGAGTAATTTAGCAAGAATTTTATTATGATTTAATTTAAATCTCTTAAATCTTATTTACTCCCTCCGACATACAATAGAGGGCAATTTCTGAAAGCTTTGCTTCATCCAAAATATAAGAAAGTGTGTAGTTTTCATGTTTTTTTAATTAAATCATTCATATATTATTTTAATGCAAGAAATGAGGAGTATTTTAAAGGAGTATAACTGAAAAGATATAAAATTATTGAGAAAATTGAAGTTTTGACGAACAATTTCTCTAAAACACGAAGTAATTATCACTGCTCTGTATTATAGATTCATTGGAGGAGGTAGCATTTTCCATTGCTGAAGTAAAATAATGAGCAATGACTTTAGAATTATGAAAAATTCCAACAATATTTTTGTCATTAAAAAATTACTGTCCTGTATCGATTATATTATTTTAAATCTTATATGCATTATCAACTTTCTAACACTATGTTCTTACAAGCCTTCCAAATGACAGGCAAGAAAGTCAATTTTATAGAAAAGGATACTGTCAATTAAATATGTAATGCTTGGACAAAAACAACGTCATATAGATTTGAAGTGAGATTTTGATGATGAATTAGACTAGAAAATCATTTTATAGAAAACATTTGATGCAATTTGCTTCAAATTTTGTATAGAAAAATGTATCATTTTTAAATATTAAATATGTCAAATCAGAAGAAGGGGGTGTTTGGATAGAAAGCAAACCATGATTCTAAAAATACTTTTACGATATGTGGAAGAGTTTGTCTCGTTTTAAAAAAAATACTTTTTAAAAATACTTTACACTCCCAAAATCCAATATCAACAACGCAATGCTATAAAAATAATTAGAGAAAATAAACAACACAGTACTTTGTAAGTTATGTCATCAAATTGGAAATTAAAATTTTTTTTTGGCTATGAATTTTGTAACATGAATTTGATAACGATGTCCCATGTGAATGCAAACACTGTAGCATTTTGACTCTTCTTTTATTTTTTTTTGGGTAAATTTTGACCCTTTATTTTTAATAAAAAGTCAGAGCTTTTGTTAAGAAGGATAGAGATGAAAGAACTCTCATACTTTGATCTTTCTTTCATTGGACCTTTTGATTCCTTGTTATATTTTTTTTTATCAACAAGTTGTAGATAACGTACTATATTCAAATTTAATAAAACCAGTTGGCCAAAAAAAAAAAATATTTAAGATTGAAACATTTTATTTTGTAAAGAAGATCGAATAAATCATCATCATCAAATAAATTTACTAGCTTGACAATTCATACCATCTAACAAAATATTCCTTTGTTTGAGATAATTTAAAACATTAAAATATTTTTTTTTCTATTTATAGGTATCCTCCTATTAGAAGTAATCATATTCAAAACAATGTCAAATACGCAGTGTGAGCACTTTACAAAGGATTTTTTTTTTTTTTATCTGGATTCTTTACACGGGAATCTAGATCATAAGAACACTAAGGAAAAAGATGCGCCGGTTTAAGCCCATCGTTTTGTTTTCTGGAGCAAACTAAGCCCATGGTTTTCATAGACCAGCTTTTCATTTTAAGCGTTTTATGAATTACTATTATATTATTTTATCAATAAAATTAACTTTCTTGGCGGAAAAAAATTATTATATTATTTATTTCTACTCAACCACTATTACTGTACTTAATATAACTATTTGGGAGAACCTAACTGATGTTATGCGTCATCATTCTTACATCTCCATTAATATTGAGTGCGTGTGTGGGTGTGTCTGGTTTTTAATTAATAAAAAATCGGTGTGGTTAAAATCCAGTTACTGTAACGAAATTTATGTTTAAGCACCTCTGAAAAAGTCACTTTAAAGAAGCTAAAAGTAATTTGAAAAGCAACTCAAACTAGTTGTTTCTATGTGAAAAGTAAATGGAGGTTGAGAGAAACCAAACCCAATATACTCTTCCGGTCCTTAATATAAGACCCAATTTTTAAGTTGGTTTTAGTTCTAAATATAAGACTTATTTCTCATATTTATCAATTTTCTCTAAATTACCTCTATGGATACTCCCTCAACCATAATCAAGTAGAAGAGGGAGAAGAGGTATTAAGAAAGATGATTATGGTGTTTTAGGAAAAATGTGTCACTTTTCTTATAACTAACTAACTTACCTAATTTCCTTAATCTAATCAAATTAGTTAAATGGGTTTTATATTAAGGACCGGAATACCTTTTTAATTGAGAAAAACAACTTCTATAATTCAGCCATGGCTATATCCAAATGAGATAAGAAGGAATACACAAAATTATGATGTACTGGACTCAATAAGAAGAAAAACATAAGTTCAAATTTTAAAAAATATATTTGTTAGGAGAATTTTAATTTTAAAATTCCCGGCCAGACAAGGATTAGACTCAAGCCGTAAGTGATTTGAGGATTTTTAAGATATAACCAGAAAAAATTATGCCGTACTGGATAAGATTGCTTCATCCCGCTGTCATTGATTTGTTTGACTCCTAATCTAAATCCACTCTGTTGAAATAATTTTTTGCAGATGGGCCATTAAAAAACTCCTAGTACCGAATTATTTATAATGGGAATCTTCTTAAACTCTGTCATTATTTTATTGTCAAGGATATTTAAGTCAGTATGGCTTGTTTACCGAAGGACACTTACAATTTATTTCTTACTCTTCCCTAGTGATCTCATGCTTATCCATTCATCTTTCTTTGTTACCGTTTTACGCAACGGGCATTCCCATGAACCAATGAAACCAAACTCCGCTCGAGTTCAATGACGCAAGCAAGAATTTTGTTTTTTTTTTTTTTTTTGGTACAACGCAAGCAAGAATTTAACGAAACAATCAAATATCTGTACTCTTTTCTCCCTTTAATAATAAGCTCTTATACTGTTTATTTTTGAAAAGGTTGATATCATTTTTACTCTCTAAAATTTGTTTTTATTTTAGTTTTGGTTCTTTAAATTTTAAAATATAAATTATAGTTCCTTTAAGGTTAAAATAATTCACGGTTTTATTGAATTATAAAAACTAATATTTTAAATAAAAAAACTTGAAAAACCAAAACTAAAATAATAACAAACTTGAGAGATAAAAAAATGTATTCACCCCTCTTGAAAATAATAAACAAGCATAATACTAAAGTATTGACTCTAAAATTCAAAGATTTCATTAAATTTAGAATATACAGTAAGCCAACAAAAGTTGGTTTAGTTCATAAAAGAGTTAGTTCATTACCTACAAAGATCGCAGTAAATATCTCTGTAAATATTCTCTGAACCAAAAAGCCAGAGGCATTCCTTTCAAAGACATGTTGTGATCCTGGTCACTCATGAGATAATATAATTATGTAACATGAAGCAAGCACAAAGTTTAATTATAAGTTTAATCATTTGAAATGACTTTGATTTTAGATTTACGCTTTGTTATCCTCTTACCAAATATTTCCCTTAAAAAAAAAAATCTGACGTCACCCAATTTCACAAGTCCAGTAGAAGAGGTACACTAGAAATCACTGTAAAGTATATGAAATCACGAATCACAACATAAAGACAAGATTTTATACAAAGCACAAGCAGGATGATGTTCCTGTTATTACTATCACATTATTTTGTTTTCGTCCATTTCATTTACAACTGACAGGCACACCATAGATTTACGGTGTTATGATGAAAACACTCGCAGCACGATTAAGCAAAAGTCCACAACTATTGAACAGTTCCCCTCAGAGAGGCTTACCAAATCACATAAGAGGGTTAAATGTAACGTGAGAGAACTTAACGGCATAGTTTCATTTAAAGTCGTCTCTGCTGGGGACAAAATATTGAGCAAAACCAGAACCAAAACCCCCTCTTCTTCTTCTTTGGTATCAGAAATTTCGCATCCCTCTTGGCTACAAAATCGGCCATGTACCGCACAACTTCCTGGAGAACAAAAGAGAGTGGAGTTTAGGTCAGTTCTGTTGAGAACAGAATGACGTTCCAATGTTACCCAGGGATATTATATTTTACCTCTCATTAGTTAGTATTGTAAATACTTCTTGAACTTCAAAATAATTAATCCACTCCCTACCCCTCCCCAAAAGCATTGTTTAGTGCCAAGTATTTGTGAGATAAAAGGTAGTTTCTCTGCAAGTTTGTACATACCTGAGCACCCAACTTGACCACTTCTCTGGGCGGTACCTCGAGAGGAGTCTGATCAGCACGAAATACTCGCAATTTGGACAAGAACCTGAAAGACTCTGGTAACGCTTTTATTTGATCATCACTTATATCCAATTCCTCAAGCATTTCAAGATTCCCAATTGATTTTGGCAAGGCTCTTAGGTCTGCAAAGTTATTCGACACATTTAATTTCTTCAGACTCACAGCAAAACATAGGTTCTCCTGTAAAAATTCCAGTTCATTAAAGCTAGCATCAAGTTCCTTCAATCTGCACAGGTTCCCCATTGTAGTAGGCAACCTTTTAATTCTGTTATAGTGCAGAGTTAAAATCTCTAACAACTCAAGATTCCCAATTGCCTCAGGAAGGGCTCTGAGCTGATTAAAATCTACTCTCAACTCTGAGAGTGATGAGCAATTTCCAATTGTGTAAGGTAGCTCCTCAAGTTCGTTTGTCTCAACATTTAATCTCCTCAAGCTTCTTAAATTCCCAATCAAATCAGGTAACTTTGTGAATTCATTTGAACTCAAGTCCAGATCAATGAGATTCTCCAACTTTTCAAAAGAAGCTGGCAGTGATCTCAATCTATTCCCGCGGAGGTCAAGATCAGTGAGGTTGATCAATTCCCCAAACGAGTGCGGAAGGTTTATAAGCTGGTTGGCATGAAGATCAACCTTTGTTAAGGCCTTGAGATCCCCAAAGGTGGAAGGAAGAGCCATGATTCTGTTCTCAGATAAGTCCATCTCACAGACATAAGAGAGTTTCCCAATTGAAACAGGCAACCATTCCATCTGGTCCACAAGTCTCCCTCTGAGCTCAAGGATTGCTGCTCCACTATTAGCACAGTTTTCAATAACCGTGGCCACTTTCATGAGACTTAATTTATCGGAGTTTCCATCATCTGCAAAATACTCTCAAGTCAAAGGATGAGAATTTAGCTGAGTGAATGGATTGATAAGATAAGGATTGCAAGTTACAGAAGCCACCACACACTACTGTAGGAAGATAAAATCGCTCCATAAAATTGATTAATACAAAATTACCATAAGTACCAGATTCCGTTGCCATTTTTGGCTTTCATGTTTGATCATGTCAAATCCTAAAGACTAGAGGCCAAATAAGGGATAATACAAGTGGGATAATACGAGTGGTTAACAACAGTAATTGAAGTCTCCAGAGGCTATGAGTTCTTTTAATGAATCTCTATACTCAGGCCGAAAAAAGGAGGGGGGGGGGGGAACCCAACACATATAACAGAGCATCTAAAAAAAACTGTGCGAACATAATCAGACCAAATTATGACGGATTTGGCCGTTCGGTGTTTACTTTTCCAATTTGAAAACATAATCCGGATATAAAATATGTACAGGAAAAGCAAAAGAAGCATTATCCCTGTTAACTATGTTATTGGATTACTTTTTTGGGGGGTGGGGGGGGGGGGAATCACAAGAGTGAGAGGAATTGGAGCTAACCAGCAGAGAAAGATATCTTCGAGGAGGATCTTCTTTCAACCTCGAGATTGATTTTCTCCATTTTTTCTCCGTCTTCCTTTCCCTTCAGCAGACTCTCATCACCGATACCAACATCTGTCTCGATTTTCCCCGCTGGTTCGGCCAATTTGGGCGGTTCCGGTTCCGTAGCGTCCCCAGAAACGAATTGAGCAGCCCTCTGAATAAGATCAGCAAGGGTCTGAAACATCTTCTCTTGTTGAAGAAGGTGAAGAGGTTCTTTCCTCTGTTCATGGCTCTGGAACAAGACCACGGTCTTCTTCAATTCTTGTAACAGAGAGAACAGCTGCTCGGGAACACCATGGGGTACTTGCTGCATTGAGATTTCCTGGAGCTTCATATTCTCCTCGCTATCGATAGTTTCGATGGCAGAAGTGGCAGCTTCGACTTCTTCAATCGAAGGTCGGAGCGGAAGCGATCGGTAAATTCTCGTAATCTCGTCAACGGTGGCGAGAAAGGCCGGTGATGGCGGGTCCTTCGTTGGCACCATGGCCATAGAGTAAGGTTGTTTTCTCCGCTCCGCCTCGACCAAGGTGGAGGATGAAGCAAAGAGATGAGGGAAGGAGCTGGTTTTACGAAGTGTTCTGGTTTCTGAGTCTGACCTCCCTGGACAAAGGAAGCGGATTGGAATAATCATCGGCAGTGCTACCTTGGATCAAATATCAATATAAAATCTAAAATCCAGAGGACTACACGTCACTATCATCACTGTTTATTTACAATGACGGTAAATCCTTTTCTTTTAACATTTTAAAATTTTTTTTTTTTTTTAATCCTTGTCAGGATTGTTGATCTTTTGAAGCAGCGTTTTTGAGACAAAAACAGATAATGTTAAATTTTAGAAATCAAAATTAAAATAAGATTAAATTTTAAGAATTAAAAATAATTTTAATTCTAAATTTCTAGATTGTTATTGAATTTTAGGCAATTTTACTCTTAATGTAATAATCCTATTTTATGTGTTTCAAAAAAAATCTGGGATAGTGACAACTTGATCTGTTTTGTAAAATGAAGTCTTTGATCGTCCAATTTGAAAAAAGCACGTCTGATGGATGAAAAATATTGTAAAGCTCGACTTGAAAATTTTTGAAAATTTAATATTTATAAAAAAGATGAGTCATAATATACTACAAACTGATGTCAATTTAAGTTACAATTAATTACTTAAAATTTATAACTGTATTTGACTTATATATAAAATTGTTTTCGAATAATTTACAATCACAATTTATCCTCTAAAGTTTGTGACTTATTTTTTAGTGTTTATAATATCTATTAAAATTTACAACTATCCTATTATTTATGTGTCTTTTTGCAAATTTAAATAATACGTCATTAATTTCTAAATAGAGAAATAGTGTCCATTTTAAGATAATTTTAAATATTAAAAAGATCATTAAAATCATTAAAAAAATTAAATCACTCATGAAAAAATGGTTAATGTAAATACTATATAAACCTACAAACTGAAGAATTGACTTACTCTCTCTTTTTTTTTTTGACCGGATTGACGTACTCTCTTTAAACCCTATTCTGTGTGCCATGTCGTTATATTTTTCAAAGACACGTATTATAGGCTAAATCACTGCTATGAATAACTTGTAAAATCATGACAACTAACATAGTCTCACTTAGGGGATGTTTTGATAACATGACAAATCAAAATAAGTTTCTTTATATATTTACTTTGTATATTATAAATCACTTTTAAAATTATAGTTTGGATTCTATCCAAACATCTTCTTAATGAGGTTTTTTAAACATCTAGTTAGGCAAAAGCTTATGCCACAAGGGAATTAGTCATTGTAACTAGTCCTCCACAAATAATTTAAATATATAACTAGGTATTATAATCAGTAGATGGTAGAGTAACCTGCTGCTACCCTGATCTTTTTAAATTTAGGAGGCGTTTGGAAACCTTCATAATTATTTTAAAAAATACTTTTATGTAAGTCAAGACAAAACTCTTTTAATATATTTATTTCAAACTTCGTAGAATTATTTCTGAAAAAATATTCCAAACATTTCCTTCCATCCTATTCATAGATATGTCTAGCTAGGTAAGCACGTCCATCTTATCCAGGCGCAAGTCTTAACCTACTTATGGTCTATGCTTGGCCACCGGCAAATTAAAGGTAAGTTTTGGATTTTGCTCAAAAGCAAGTCCATGGATGTTCCAATAGAGCTTGTTTTTGCGCCTGCACAATCTTGAGCAGAATCCTTAGTTAAAAGTTAGAATACAAATCATTTTGAACGTTGATAATGGGTTATTGGATCTTCTTATGATTCCCACTTTGATAATCCAAAACATACTCCAACGTTGTTCTCTAATTTCAACAAGTAGTTGTTGGACAATGGCATTGATTTTTTTTTTTTGGGGGAGGGGGACTTCTTTCGTTATATGATAAAATATATATATATATATATGTATATATATCAATCACGTTTTCATGAAAACTGTGACGTGTTAAGGCTAGAAATTGTGCAAATGAGCTTTGACGTGTCAAAGTAGGAGACCAAAAAATACAACACACAAAATGTCAAACGTGATCCAGACTTTAATGTTATTTGTAAAATGCATCAACACCTTACTTTTATTTATGATCTTTCTAACGTCTTGATGTTATACTTTTAGTGTTTTTTAATACTCTAAATCATAAAAAATTAAGGTATTGAATGCATCAAGAAGATAATATCAGAATGTTAAATATACTGTTAATAAGATTAAGCGGCTAGATATAAAAAATAATACTATTTCTAGTTTTTGATATAAGAACTAGTTTGACTTTCAACTTGATTATAAATATAAGATCCCAATCCATTTTGTCTCTCATATTTATTTATTTTTTAAATATAATTCTTAGTAATTACATATATTAAATGTTTCATCATATAATAAATTCTAAATAATATGCATAATTAGCAAAGAAATAACATCTATTTATTATAAATAACTAATTTAAATTATTTTTTAATCTAATTAAATTAATTAATTAATTTTTATATTAAGTATTAAAGATATATGATGACGTTTGATGATACTTTACTCGAATAAAAATACCGTTAACGTCAATATCACTGAAAGCGTTGCAGTTTAATTTAATGCAGGGAAACGGGCGGACCGTGAGGCTAACGGAGATTAACGTGAATGGTATGAATGAAATTACTAGAACAAGCTGACGTGGGGACTAAAGAATAGGCCAATCTTTATATGGCAAGCAATACAATTTTGTTTTTGTTGACAATTTTTTTGAATCATTTGGGTGAGACAAGCCACGAGGGGAATCCGCTTAAAGCCGGGGGAACGTTCTTGAAATTGGCCTTATATCACGTGAACTCCACTTGCTTTAGTTGAAATTTGTGAATTTTTCCTTATTTAATTCTCATATAAAGTGATATTATCTACTTCGTCATTCTCAAAAATTATACTATACTTTCCGATCCTTAATATAAGACCCTGTTTGACTTTTATTTTGGTTCTAAATATAAGACTCCAATCTATTTTGTCTCTCATATTTACTCAATTTTTTTCAAAGTAGCCCTTCTAATAATAAGAGTTCTAGCCAATACACTTGATTAGCAAGGATATTTAGGAAAGACAACATCTATTTAGGACAATAACTAACTCAACTTACTTCCTTAATCTCCTCAATTAGTCAACTGGCTCTTATAATTAGGACCGAAGGTAGTAGTAAAACTAACTCAACTGTATTTGTCCTAAATAGATGTTGTCTTCCCTAAAATATCCTTACTAATCAAGTGTATTGGCTAGAACTACCATTGTTAGAAGGACTACTTTGAAAAAAAATGTATAAAATGAGAGACAAAGTGGATTGAGATCTTATATTTAAGATCAAAATAAAAATCAAACAAGGTCTTATATTAAGAACCGGAGGTAGTACTTTTTTTATTAATAAATGAAAGAAGGTAATAATTGAGAAAAATACTGTACTACGCTGTATATTTTGGAGTCAGAGGAGTATGTAATTAATTTAAGTAACTATTTATTCTGTTATTCATCAATTATCATAAATTTGAAACCGAACCCTTGTCATAAATTGTTCGTTAATTATTAATTAATGCGAACAACTAAACTAAAAGCTAAATCCGGAGCTTGAACCAGGAAGCGGAGTAAAGGATGGGAGACATTTTCAAGAAGAGGAAATTTTAAATAAAAATCATTATAAATACTCCTCCGGTCCTAATTATAAGACCCAATTGACTTATTTGAGGAGATTAAGGAAGTAAGTTAAGTTGGTTATTTATAATAAATAAGTATTGTCATTCCTAAAATATCCTTGCTAATTAAGTATATTGGCTAAAACTATCATTATTAAAAGGATTATCTTGGAAAAAAAAGCATAAATATAAGAGACAAAATGGATTGGGTCTTATAATTAGAACCAAATAAAAAGTCAAATTGGGTCTTATAATAAAGACCGGAGGAGTACTAAAGAAAAAATATAATCAATTAAAAAGCGAACAACATAAATCTTGTTATTATTTTCTAGTAGTATAATTGAATTTGTCATTTGCTTATTATGAAACTTTTTGATAATTATATCATTTCCTTTTGAGATCACATAGTGTGATAAGAGCACGATGGCATCTTGTAAGGCATCAAGGTGGCGACCAAGTGAAGTTGCACTTACAATCAATAAGATGATGTTCATATTACTCAAGAAGAGTCTGAGAAAGTCCACAATCCTCTTCCGCTCCATGACACCAAGGGCCTAGTTACTAGATACTCGATAAAAAGATGAGATTTTTCGAAGACTAGGGAATTTGTTGAGGTTGCAAATGCGACTTTAACTAGAGTTGGTAAAAAAATAACCTAACCTAACAAACATGGCAGGCTAGTGTCAAGCTGTCAAAGTGAGTTATTTCAATGTCTTACATATAACTAATTTTTTTAATATTTATAAATTAATTATTTAATTCTTATAGTTTATAATTATGGAAAGTATTAAATAATAATAGAATAAAATAGCAACACATGCCACATTAGATGCAATTAGGTATCACAGGAGCAGATCGTCTCAAGAGCAGGTTTTTTAGCGTCTCTCAGAATCTACATATCTTGCCCGTCCATTCCATCATGATCATCCATGAAGTGACATTTCATGGAATATTTAAAATCGCATCTAAACTGTTCATCTTGTTATAATGTTGCCGTCCATTCATTTCCAGAATCCTTGCGGCCATCACGAAAACACTTTCTTAGTTTGCTATGAATTTCCAACCCCATCGATGACGCAAACAGGAAGCTCCATGGTTACCGTCAATTGGGCACTATGAGAGAATCACCATAGTTTTGCCAAAAGCAACCTATTGGGTCTAGTATGCTTCTTTCTCCATATCTTTACCCTTCTTTCCACTTCTTTTTTAATTAGCTTTTAACTAGCTTAGTTTCTTATTATATATATGTATATAATATTCTATATACTCATTTTTCAGTTTTTTGGTTTTAAACCAAATTTTTTTAAAATAACCGAACTAAAAACCGATCACCAAAATTTAAGAAAAATAAAATCGAACGAAAACTGAACACTAAAATATCCAAACTGAAAAACTGAAAATATATTCGATTCAGTGATCAGTTACAGTTTGATTTTGCTCACCTCCCCTAACGAGCATATTTATTCCAAAAAC